GAGAGAGAGAGGAGAAAAAAGTGAAAATACAAGTAAAAAGTGGAAGAGGTAAGGTTGTAGATAAAGTCTAAGGAAAAAAGTTTATTATAGTTATCATTAGACCTTTATACAAATAGTCCCACTGATACTGGACCTCCAATTGATATAGGGGAAATAGATATAACTCCCCACCTGCTAGATCTCAGATACACCGAGTTTGTGTTCCCCGAAGTCGAAGAATCAATTCTAAGGAACAATGGAAGTTAAGAGTAGGAAAATTTGTTGGGGAATAGAAGTGGGGATAGGAATGGGGAATCGGACTAGCTCCTAAGAGACAGGAGGGGTCCTGACTGGGTTGCCAAAGAGCCCACTTTTCTGAGAAAGTTTTATAGAGCAAAGTCATGAGGGGTGGGTACAACGTGGGTCAAATTATAATCAACCAATACAATTATAAGTGTAGCCACTTAGCTGATATTGATCCACTAGTGGCAAGGGCATATGGATGACACCAGTAACCTTAGTCTATAATCTATAGTCTTAGTCTTGTTTTTAGTCATATGGGAAATCTCAAAAGGCTTGTACCAATAATTTCAAACTTCTTTAGGGAAGTATGCAAACCTGGCCATTATGACATTAATCTTCTTCAGATGTGTCTCCAGCCACAGTTTCGATATGTTCTCATCTTCTGCACTGATCCCCATGTTCTGTGTGACTGCCTAAAATATTTCTACCTAACTTAGCTGTCTATAATACCACTCTCTCCATTAATGCACACTAGGGGACCAAGGGATTGAACTGCCACTTTTTTTTTTTTTTTTTTGGTTTTTTGAGACAAGGTTTTGTTATGCAGTTCAAGTGATCCTCCTGCCTCAGCCTCCTGAGTGCTGAGATCTCAGGGGTGCACCACCATGCCCGACTGCCACCTCTTCTGAAGACTGATGTCTTTGTAGCTTGCCTGGAAGGCATGACGTTCTGAATTTGTTCCCTAGCACCACAAAAAATAAAAACAAACAAATACAAATGTGAGTGGAAGTGGCAGACATGTGGAGTATTGAATGAAAAGAACTTTTGAACCACTGAGATTTGAGGTGTTAACTTGTCTTTACTAATTACCTAGAAAGAAAAGAGATTGTTAACATTTATGAAAGAAAGAAGGGGGCACAGAAAGAGAGGGAGAGAGGAAGAAGAAAGTGAGAGAAAGAGATTTGGGGGACAGGTCAAAGGAATACTACAAGAGATAGGTTTAAATTAAAAATAATAAACTGTAAAGCTAAAATACAATTAACTGGGAATTATACAAAGATGCATGTGTGAATGATTAAAAACTCTATCTGGTCCTGACAGAAATAGTCACAATTCTTACTGCAAAAAATATGCTCAGTTTAAAGGTTTCCGAGTAAAATCATTCGGACATGTTCATTTCTACAAATGAAACTATGAAATTCCCTCGAAAACTAAATTTTACCCTTCGAAACACCCTTTCCCTTTCTGTTAACAAAATCTCTACTCAAGCCTTGGTGGTCAACTCAGATTGCTTCCTCTTCATTCAATTTCTCCTTCAGAATCCCCCTCAGATTTACCACCTTCTCTTTACTCACATCTCAGGTGCCCTAGTCCAAACTTTCTTGACTCATACCTGGACCACCCCTCTCCTCACACATCCTGTCCTCCTCTCCAGAATATTTTCTCGCCCATCCATCTTCTCACTGTTCCCAGACTAATCTTCCCTCTTTAAGGATCCAGTACAACTTCAGCCTTGAGCCCAACAACTGCTTCTATAAGGTTCCCATCCAGACCTTGTCCATAGCTTACCTGCTGCTTATTCAGGCTGGACTATTTGTTATGCTCTAAATTACACTGCTCGTTCCTATACCCTTACCTTACTAATGATTTTACCTCTAACTCTACAAGGGTCCTCCATTCATCTTCCTACTCAAAAATCCCACACATCTTTAAAGCTCCTCCTGTATCACTCCCCCACCCCCGCACAAGACTTACCCAATGAATCCCACCCAAATAGGTCTCACCATTTCTCCATCCATGTAGCACTTAGAGTTAAAGTTCTCTTCAAAGTCATATAGAACAATCCTTCAAATTTATATCTGAGGTTGAGAGACTTGGCCAGTCCTGCAACCACTTAGTGGCAACTTAAACTAAAATCCAGCTGTCTTAAACTTCATTTCCTCTCAACTACACTTTTTGGCTTTTTCTTTACCGTCTGCAATATATTTTAACTTAATTTAGATCACATAGCCCTGATTAAATTACAAGCCACTTAGGAATAATGACTCAGTGCAGGGTCTGTATTAGGTGAAAGACCTTTAGTTTTGGGTATCCATGGCTATCAGAGTAAATGATAAAAAGAGATTCAGACCTCTCCAAAGCCTATCAAAGTGAATGATTTTATTGAATATATTCCATAACCCCTTCTTCCTTAAATCCAGCTCAGGGAGCAGACAAGTCTGAATTACTTTATGCTTTTTAATACTTTCTGAATATGTGACTGGATACTCCCACCTCTGTGTCCAGAATTCACAGGACTGTAGCCTGCAGGGGAGGGAGCTCATTTCTCAGCTATGCTAAGCCTGTAGATATCCTGGTGACTTCAAGAGCTACAGTGCAAAAAGAAAAGGAAGGGTGGGATTTCCCTTGTTTCTGTAATAACACAGATTTCTGGGAAGCCTGTAATAATGCAAATTTTAGGAAAAAGATCATCACTATTACAAAAAAAGATGGAATCATGACATAGAAAGAGATGACCTTCGCTAGGAGGAAGTAGAAAGAAAAAAAAAGAGGAAGTGGCTAGAGCAAAGGAAGACAAAAGGAAATTTGGCATGACAGGTTAAGTTTTGTTAATGTTGCACTTTTATTTAACTAAAAGGTAGACAAAATATTTTTAGACTGGAAAAATTTTTAGACTGGAGAAAGATAAGAGTGGAATAAAATATTTTTTAAAAACATCCTGAGAACAGAATTAGCATGTTTCCTCAGGAGTTGTTTTCCTATTTTGCTTCAAAAATATTAACTTGTTCTGTGTCCAATCCTTGCTAGACACTAGTGATAGAGAAATCAGTGATTGGGTTCCTTATTTCAAGGAATGGGTGATACAGGTTGGTGCAGTGGCACACACCTGCAATCCTAGCTACTCCAGTCTTAGGCAAGAGTGAGGCAGAATATTAGGGTGTGACCAACTGTTTGGGAAGGTAGGTATGACCTGTCATTTACAAAGTCCCAGGACACATGTGTAGAACAGTTCCCAAGGCCCTTCCATTGAACCAGAGTCCTCCCTTCAATTTTTCTAAAGAACACATGCAGGTTTTTGATAGAACCACCTAGACCTGACATCAGCCAGGAGTGGGAGATACAAAAGAAGGCTTCCATTTTCCTCATGGCCACTGTGCTGTCTTTTGCAGTGTTCCATGCTCACCCTGTAGAAGGTACTCCTTTTCCTACTTTTAATTGGCCCCTACTTGCTCTACAGAGCATGTTTCTTTTCTTTCTATACCTTTAATAAATGTAAGACCTCACTACCTTTCATGCTTATCTTGACCAATTCTTTGTGCAGGATAGAAAGAACCTAGAAACCACATCTAGAAGGAAACTCCAGCACCCCAAAAATGTGGCAATAGAGGGATCTCAAGTTTAGGCCAACCTGGGCAAACTAGTAAGCTCCTGGGAAAAAGTTAGACCTTGTTGCAGAATAAAAACAGAAAGGGCTTAGGATGTAGCTTGGTAGTAGAGCACTTTCCTAGCATGTTCAAGGCTCTGGGTTCCATATAAAGTATTTTAAAAATGGTCAGTTCAGCTGGAGATTTAGCTCAGTGGCGCTGCTCCTGCCTGCCAAGTGCAAGGTCCTGAATTCAATCTCCAGTACCAAAAAGAAAAAGTCAGTGCAACAGAAAAGACTTGCAGATGGACCAAGATACGAAATTTACATGCTAATTGCTAATAGAAGACAGAAGGGGAAGCTCTAAAATCACATGGGGATGTCAAGGAATATTTATAATGTTAATCATAAGGACTTTTTTTTGGTGAGTACCCACCATCAGACAGCCTGTAACTGTTATGTGGATTATGTCATGTGATCCTCTCAAGAATGTAGGTGTAAAAAATAGTTTAGTTAGTTAGCTTATGCATAGGCAGTTAGCTAGGGGAAGGGCCTGAGATAGAGTTGAGTGATTAGCTACATTAATAAGAATTAAAATAAGGATAGGCAGTGAACTAGGATTTTGAGCCAAGAATGAACTTCCTCAGGCAACGTGGAATTCAGCCCCTCCCTACCAAATTCCCGAGTTTCAAGAAATTTAAAATGTAAAATAACCATTTTTTAAAACGTTTTTTATCGTTTTGTTTTTGGTTTTTTTGAAACAAATTTCACTATGTAATTCAGACTGGCCTTGAACTCACTGTGTAGCCCAGGCTGGCCTCAAACTTGTGGCACAGTCCTCCTGCCTCAGCCTCCTGAGTGCTGGGATTACAGGCATTCAGCACCATGGATGTTTTTTTAAAATTCTAGTTTCCTTTGAGCTCTATATACTGAGTAACTGGGTTAGAACGCCTGAGTTCCAGTTGGTCATTTTATTTTCTTAATGTATTTTTAAAATTAATTTTGTTGGTATACTTTTGGTATACATAAAGATCCCATTCATCATAGGGAATTTGTACCTGTACATAATACATCTTGATTCTTTTTCTTCCCCCATTCCCCACCCCTGCCTTCAATCCTGTGATTTTAAATCCACAGATCTGTCTGTGATAGGTGGCCACTAAACAATTGAGCAATTCCCATGCTCTGCTTATCCATAAAAAGCACTGGATAGAGGGAATTTGTGGCAATCTGCTTGGAACCTTTCCTGGAAATTCAGGAGTTATATTTTTTCTCCTCACTTCCAATAAACACTCTTCTAACTTTTTCCTTTTGTTTGCAGTTTCATTCTTTAAGAGACAACGAGTACAAATTTACACAGTTTGTCTGGAATTAACTGTTTTATAGGTACTGTTCTATTATGTTCATTTTTCAGGTATGGAAAGAAAGACTTACAGAAGTGAAGTCACTTCTCCAGGATCATACCAAAGTGGAGTAGAGTTTTCCCACCAAGAAAACCCGGGACAAGTGCTAAAAAACAAAAGCAAATCACCCTCCTCTCTGCCCAAAAAAAGCAGAAAGGGAAGAAATGTGATGAAGAGGAAAAATAGGAGAAGATGACCTATGCAGAAACAACTGTAGGAAAGAGACTAGTTAGCAGATGAGAGTGGATTGCAACAGAAGAATTGCAAGCTATCCAAAGTTACTGGAGAATTTAGTGCAGGTTGGGGAGAAGAAAGAGTTGAACTAGACTGTCAGGCACTGGTCAGATCACAATGGGCTATGTCCTGCAAAAGAATTTGGACCTTGGGCCATGGACATAGCTCAGGGGTGCCGCACCTGCCTGGCAAGCACAAGGTCTTGAGTTCATTCCCTAGTACCAAAAAAAAAAAAAGGAGAAGAATGAGATCTCTAGCCTATTTTATAGGGTTGAGGATTTAGCTCAGTGCCTGGAAAGTGCAAGGTCCAGAATTCAATCCCTAGTACTGAAACAACAATAACAAAAAGAATTTGGACCTTATCCTGAAATTGCTGAAGGATAAAACAAAGATAACAGCCGGGCGTGGTGGCACAGGCCTGTAATCTCAGCACGGAGGAGGCTGAGACAGAAGGATTGCTGCAAATTGAGGATAGCCTGGGTTACTTAGTGAATTCAAGGTCAGCCTGAACTGCAAAGTGAGACCCTGTCTCAAAAAACAAAGATAACAAAAATAACTGTAATATTGTGATAGGCTGATAATTTTTCCAAAGATGTTCATGTTCTAATGTTATCAGGTAGCTTGTTTCTAAAAAGTAGCTCACCAACTAGATGTTACTGGGTTCTGGAGTTGGATTCCAGGTTCTTACCTCAAATAAAGAATCGAATGATAATGAATAATTGAAAATGTGAAATGGGAAGAAAAGGTCCAAAGGGGTGGGGGAGGTGGGAGAGGTAGGGAAAAGGAAAGAAGGGAAAGGAGAAATTATGAGAAAAGGAAAAAATGGAAACAGTCTTTGTAAATGGGGAAGGGTGGAGGGGGTGAAGGGAGGACAGGAAATAGGGAAGAAATAAGAACCAAGATACATCATGTAAAGGTACAAGTACCCAATGATAAATGTAAATGTATTGTGTACCTAAAATGTACCAATAAAAGAATTTAAGGGAAAGAAAGAATCAAATGAAATGAGCAAAACGCAGTGGCAAAGTTTACTCAAGAAAGTAAAAGTGAAGAGTGGGAGAGAAAAAGAAGGTAAGAGCAAAGATTATATGCTGCACCTGGAAAACACAGTGTGAGCTATCATAGAAAGTTATGATCGCATGGGCTCCTCATGGCTGCCTTTTATACTGTCCAAATCTCAAAGAAACCTGCGAGAACTTCTACATGAGGGTCCTGAGACATGGTGTTGAGATCCCATGCCTCAGGCTGATGTCAGGTCTAGGTTATCCTATTGGAAACCTGCTCCAGTTCTCCGAAAACCAAGTGCAGAGCTTTGGGAACTGTTCTGCGCATGCCTCTGGTATCTTGTAGTTCCCAGGTCATGTCTACATCCCTAGCCAGTTTTTGCCACACTCTGATCTCCTATCTTACTAATTCCTGGAACCTGTGTGCAAATATGCTACCTTGCATGGCAAAAGGGACTTAGTACTTATGATCAAGTAAAGATCTTGAGATGAGAGGTTATCCTAGATTATCTGGATAAGCCAAGTGAAAATACAAGGCTCTTTGTAAGAGGAAGGCAAGACAGTCATAGAGAAGAAAATGTGCCAAGGGAAGGGAGGGAGGGAGGGAGACAGAGAAAGAGAAAGAGGGAAGAGGAGGAGGGAGAGAGAGAGAGAGGAAAAATTAAAGCATACTGTGCTGCTGATTTTGAAGAAACAGGAAGAGCTCATAAGCCAAGGAATGTAACCAATGTCTAGAAACCAGAAAAGTCAACAAAATAGATCCTTCCCTAGAACATCCAGAAGGAGCACAGGCCTGCTACATCTTGATGATAACACTCCATTTGGACCTCTGAGCTCTAGAATGGCAAAATAATACATTTGGATTAAGCTACCAAGCTTGTAGGAATTTGTTATAGCAGCAGTAGGAAGCCAATACAGTTATACCTATAATTTAATGAGCAACTATTCTATAAAAGTATCTTCTATATCTAAATGTTAACACCACTCCCAGTGTCATGGGTGTTTAAGCTGTGCATCTGCACAAGCTATGCTTAGAAAGGCCCTATACTTGATTTAATGCCCTGCTATTGCTGTACTGAAATTATTAATAATTATTTAACAAGAGGCCATCCTAATTTTTCTTTCTTTTTTTTTTTTTGTACCGGGGATAGAACCCAGGACCTTGCACTTGTGAGACAGGTGGTGGAACCACTGAACTAAATCCCTGGCGCAACCTACATTTTCATTTTGTACTGGTCTCTACAAATTATGTGGCCATTTCTGCCTGATCCTAACATCAATCCTGAAAAATAAAGGTTATATTCATAAATAAACTAGAAGGGCTGGGGATTTAGCTCAGTGGTTCTGCTGCCTGTCTCACAAGCACAAGGTCAGGAGTTTGATCCCCGGTACCAAAAATAAAATAAAATAAATAAATAAACTAGAAATCTCAGAAAAGGAATAGTAATAAATACCTTGAGTCAGGGGATAAAGTTTGCTACTTACTATTTATGGGCCCTAGGACAATCTTATTAATTCCTTATGAGCCTCAGTTTCTTCTTTTGCATAGTAATTATAATATCCTGACTGTAGAACTATTATGAGGAACAGAAATATTTATAAAGTGCTACAGTGTTAGTAGAAATACAAGATTAGATTGAAAAATATAGTGAATGTTTAAATTTGTTAAAATGTATCACAGTAAAAGATATACTGCCATTAATCCCCCTCAAAATACTCACCTTTGCTTTTTCTTGCCACTTTCTGAAGCAGTTCTGGAAGTCCTCATTTGTGAGTGTCTTTAATTCTGTCATGGCTGCCTTGATGTCCTGAACTGATTAAAAATGTTTACCTTTTGTGGTCATTTTGGCTTTGGGGAAGAGCCAGAAGTCACACAGTACCAGATATGATTAATAAGGTGGATTAAAATACATGGTAATTTTTTTTGTTTGTTTTCGCTTAAATTCTTTTATTGGTACATTTTAGGTATACAGTACATTTACATTCATCATTGGGTGCTTGTACCTGTACATGATGTATCTTGGTTCTTATTTTTTCCCCATTACCTGTGCGCCCTTCACCCCTCCACCCTTCCCTATTTACATAGACTTTGTTTCCATTTTTTTCTTTTCTCACAATTTTTCCTTTCCCTTCTTTCCTTTCCGCTTCCCCTCCCACTTCTCCTACCCCTTTGGACCTTTTCTTCCTATTTCAAATTATCAATTATTCATTTTAATCATTTTAATCCTTATTTACACTTTCAGTTTCTCACACTAGAGAAACTATTCAGTATTTACACGTGTGTCCTATTTATTTCACTTAAGAGTATGGCCTCAATATGCATCCATTTAGCTGTAAATGTCTCTACTTTCTTGTTCTTTATGGCTGAGTAGTACTCCATTTTATAGGAAAAAAACCCCACATCTTCTTTATCCAGTTTCCAGTTGATGGGCACTTGGGCTGTTTCCAAGCTTTAGCTATTACAAACTGTGCCACTATAAACATGGGTGCACATATATCGCTGTGGTATGATTCTTTTAATTCTTTTGGGAAGATCCCCATGGGGAATAGCTGGGTCAAATGGGACCTCTAGCCCTAGTTCTTAGAGGTATCTGCATACTGATTTCCACAGTGGTTGCACCAATCTGCACTCCCACCAACAATGGAGAAGGGTTCCTTTCTCCCCACACTCCCGCCAGCATTTGTTATTGCTTGATTTCTTGATAGTACATGGCAATGTTTTAATGACCCTGCATTTCTTTTGGATGGAACTCAGAGCCATACTGTTTTTATTTTTCATCATGCTTTGTAAGAACACAAAAGAGGACTTCCAGAACTGCTTCAAAAAGTGGCAGGAATTATGGGATATATGTTTAAAGTGAAGGGAACTATTTAGGAGAGATTAATGGTAATGTGTCTTTTACTGTAATAATTTTTTAAAAGTTAAAAATTAACTGTATATTTTGATCACTCCATGCACAGTGTCCCATGTAACTGAGACTGCCACACACACACACACACAAAATCATCTCATGGGAAGCAAATTGCCCCTAAGTCATTAGGATTTCACCAGAGCTATGGAAATGAAAGCTGAGACAATGATTGAGATTGACTGAACCTCAGATCATGACAGCACCCCATAAAAGTGGTCTCTGTTCTGTGAGTGGGTCAGCCTAAGCCTCTTCATCAGAGTGTGCCCTCTTCCACTGTTTTGTTTGTTTGTTTTTTTTTTGTACCGGTGATCGATCTCAGGTCCTTGCACTTGCAAGTCAGGCGGCGGAACCACAGAGCTAAATCCCCAGCCCTATTCTGCTGTTAAACTGGAGTCCTTTTCTTCTCTTCTCTTGCTCTCCTTTGTTAAGAGCCAGCTTGATCTTTGTCACTCTTCAAGTTAAGTACCTTACCTTTTTCCCATACTTTCCAATTAAAGCTTTTTCCTGCAAGCTTAGTTTTAATTTCCAGTATCACTAAACAAGGACCCACGCTAGCTGATGAGAGCTTGATGGGAAAACACTGGGCTTGAGATTCCTAGAAGCATTCAAATGGAGATGTAGAGTAGAAAGTTAGAGAGATATATCTGAACTTCAGGACAAAAGCCTAGGCTAGAGATAAATATTTGGAAGCTGCCAGCATTTGTCATCATTACTGCCAAAGAAATGAATGGAATCACCCAGAATTAAATCCTGGAAAATACCAATGTCTAAGAGGCAGTTAAAGGAAAAGAAACTTTCAAAGGAGATTAAGAAGGAATGGCCAGAAAGGGAGAAGCAGAACCAGAAAAAGTACTAAACGAAGGAAGAGTGGCCTCTTCATTTGGTGGTCGAGGCTGCAAACCACCCTAACAAACCTAATTGAGCCTGTGTTCCCCAAACCCAAGAGATTCCTTTAAGTTACACAGTCTACCCTTTGCTTTGGCTCTTGGATTCTCCCACACTCCCTGGCTTCTTTGGACCAATGACTCAGATGGGCTGACTACCTGATGGCCATTAAAAATATTATGAGTTTACTAATAGTGAAACAAACATAAGCCAAAACATCCTAAGGTTCCATTATATACCTATATTAGTACTCATGAATTAAACTGCTTCTGCTGGGAGTAGCTGTGGGGAGCGAGGCAGGCACCAACTTTGCTGGTAGCATTTTATATACAGTCACACTTTCTGCTGAGTAACCATAGAAGCAGTGTAAGAGCTGTATGTGCCCTTTGTTCCATTTTGAAACATGCCTCATGGAAATGAGCTAAAGGAAAAAAGTGGCACAGATTCCAGTCCCACTATTTATAACAGTACAAAACTGGAAACAGTCCAAATCCTCAGCTTTAAAGTAATACTTAAACAATGGCACCTAACTGATTTGGAATGCTTTGTGACAATTAAAAATAACAAGCATGTGGATATGGAAATGAATCTATGAAAAAATGTTAATTGAAAAAAGTAAAGCACACCAAGTGCTGGCAAGGGTGTGGAAAAACTGGAATCCATATGTATCTGTTGGTGGAAAGGAAAAATGGTGTAGCTACTTTGGAAAATAATCTGGTACTTTCTCAAAAAGTTAAATGTAGAGTTATTGTTTGGGCCAGCAATGTCACTATTAGGTGTACACTCAAAATACATAAAACCTATTCCACACAAAACTCAAACACAAATATTCATAGCAGCATTACTCATAATAACCAAAAGGTGGAAGTAGTGCAAATGTCCATTGTCTGATGAACAGATAGACAAAAGGTAGTAATAGCCACATGAGAGATTTTTTT